CACTCGGCCAGCCCCACAGTACAGATTTTAATGTTACTCAAATGTCTCCATAGGAACATGTGTACTTGTCAGACTATAAATCCTAACCTTTGGTACAGAATATAGGAATACTGTAGTCTTTTACCCAGTTACAACATGATGTCATCAAGGGGGAAAAACATGTTTTAGACTCCTCTACTTCTTGAATGGTTCCCTAGTGTGGGACAGTAGGTATTATATTAAGGCAGGTTGATCAGCAATTGGGTCTGCATGGGCCAAATGTCCACATTTCCTGGAAACGAGCAGAATTCCCAGACATGGGGAATGGTCAAGTCCTTGAGTCCGCAAATGCTGCTCTACAAGTGACTAGTCGATATTATAGCTTGTGATTAGTGGATATATAATACGCTGTGAAAATGCTTTGTAATCGCATGTGCTTTCACTCTTTGCCCTTTATTAAATTGGCCTGACCTGGACTTTGTGTATCTAACCACCACTACATTTCTAAGACTTTTATCACTTTCACAGCGTTTCCTCTTTGCTCATTAACCAAAAAAAAAAAAAATCTGCTAGCAAGGTAAACCAGGCATTACTATCTCCACTTTAAAGATAAGAAAATCAGCCCTGAAAGGGAAAGTGATTGACCCCAGGTAGCACACCAGAATCATGTTGGCCTCACTGTGGTGTACCTGTTCAGAACTGACCTCTCTCAGTCTTTGCCACCTTCCCTATTCTGAACCTTTGGTTTTTACAAGGTAGAAATGTCCTGGTTTATCTTTGCAGCAGGAATTAGAGTATTTGAGCAAGGAGGAACCTTAGAGGTCCTCTAGTTCCCCCCTCTCATTCTATAAGCACAGAAACTTTACGTTTGGGTTGCAGCTGGTGGGAAGGGGTAGGAGAGTGGAGTAGCGATCATACCCAAAGTCTTAAGAGCCAGTCCCAGAAATGGGACCCATCACTTCCACTAATATTTCATTGGTTATAACAATCATCCGGCTATATAACAGCAAAAGATGGCAGGGAAATGTTATCTCATTTGGCAGCCACATGTTAAGGAAGAAGGGGAGAAAGTATTTTGGTGGGCATCTATCAGTCTCTAGGGACTAAGTATTAGCTGATCTAGGCTTACATGTGGAATTAAAGTCATGTTTTGTCTTATAGAGGGTTCTGAAGTTTAAGTCTAGTTCAACAGATATTTGTTGAGCATCTCTTATGGGCAAGGCACTGTTCTTAGCTCCTGTGCATGTGCAAAAATAAAATAAACATAGTCCCTGCTTTATCACATACTGAAGAGTCAAAGACTCATCTCTAGATAATGGAATTTCAGGCATCAGCTACTAAGAAGAGTAAATACAAGCTTGAGAATTAAGGCCTTCTCCTACTTTGGAAATCACAGCACACAAGCGCGCTCGCTCTCTCTCTCTCTCTCTCTCTCTCTCTCTCTCTCTCCATAGATATATATCTATATATATATCTATAGATATATAGATATAGAAATATGTATATAGATAGATATATAGAGATAGATATAGATATATAGATAGGTGTAGATATATTGTGTTGTCGGAAAAGTCATGACGCATTTTTGCTACGAAAAACGAAAACTATGTCATGACTTTTCCGACAACCCAACAGACATAGATATATAGATATAGTTAGGATATGGGAGCCCTTGCTTGATAACAGGGTCCTTCTGTGCCTTGTGATCCTAAATCCTGCTGCCTCTTCTGTGCATTCCAAACAGCCCCCAGATTAAATAGTTAACAAATATACCATGTGGAACAAAATAACGAGCATAAGCCCTTGTAGGGGCTGTTTGTAGATTATTCAGACTTTATTCTGGTAATGCACTCTCCTAGCAATGTAGGGGAAGAGCAAGAGATAGAAGGGATGAAATAAAGGGACTAATGATCCCAGGCTAGATTTGGAAAGAAAGTCGTTGGATGGGGCTTTTCTTTGGCTTTTGCTTAGTTAGCCTTTCCAGAATAGTTTATGGTATGGCTATTATTGTACTTTTGGGAACTGTAATTAATCTAGTGCCTAACGGGGGTGTTGCTACGAGAGCTATTTTTCTGTGAGTCTTGTATCATCCCAGCAGACTCTCTTCTGCTGAAAATGGTGGGATTTACTATTTATTCTGGGTTCTCTCCAAAACTAGCCTGCCATCTCTAGTAATCAGTGGTGATTTCCACTTCACTATTGTTCACATAAGTCCTGTATCTGCTGTCCTGCTTCTCAACCCTTAACTGCCCATGGCTAGAGCCTTTGTCTTAGAGCCCAAAAATAGATGTCTAGTTACTATATTGAAGAACAGGTAGTAGCTTTTACGGAAAATCTCTTCCGTTAGCCTGGTTGAAACTATATTAGTGCCAGTTACATCTCTTTCATTGTCTTCCCTGTGGAGGCACCAGCTTAGTATCTTTTCATTTCTTATAGCTCAAGATAACAATTTCTAACACCCGTTCTTTCTGATAATTATTCATTCAAGAAAGGGGTAACAGTGAGAAGATGGATTTGGGATAATAAAATACCATCATCCAAGGTACTGTGACAACTGCCAGTCATGGTCTTACTACCTCGCTGGATTCAGGTTTCAACTATCCTCCTATGTCCACACACTAAATATCATGTTACTGTGCCAGACAAGGCATACAGGGTTTACTGGGTGGACCCCTGCATGTGCTTTGAGTTGAGATAAAATGTTATTCACATATGGAGAACTCCCTGCTTCGAATCCTGCCCTTGATAAGAAGGCTCACATGTTTGACAGTCTTCTCACTTGAACAGAATATGTCGTCTTGGAGCCAAAGAGTTATAAACAGTAAAAATGGCAAGTTCTTAACCTACTCTTTGCTGGTTAAGAAAGCATCCCTTCTCACCAGAGGCTATATAGACAATATATGGTTAGAAAAGCAGTTTAGAAACTAAGTGACCTTAGATCTGGGTTCACCTCAGCAATGTCTGCATTGTGCCATTGGAGCATGTCATGTTCTATGGACTTCAAGTGACTCAGCTGTATCATGTGCACTTATATACACAATTCTAACTGCGCTGAGAATTACATGGCTAGCACCTTTAAGCACCTAAAGAAATTAAAGTCCCATGGAATTTAATTGGAGTAAAACCCCCACACGATGCAGATGAGACCATCTGCATAGTAATAGAAGAGCAGTTTCTTAACTTCCAGCACTGTGGACAAGTCCTCTGGAAGTAGCGGGTGGGTACAATAGCTCGCTGCCATAGGCAGGTACTGCATCTCTTCCTCTATTCTCATTATAATGCAGCTGGCCTTGGGAATGTTTTCAGAATCACTGTTAAAAAAAAATTCTGAAAAGGGGAAAGAATTCATTCTAGGCCTAGGGGATACAACTCAGCGGCTCTTGTCGGTTATAAAGCTGAGGTCCTCACTACCCATCCACCTTTAACATTTCTCTCCCATGGATTTTTCTTCCCGCATTTTTTCACTCTACCCGCAAATTCTGCTTCCTCGCCAGTTCCCCAAGTGATAGTTCTACCTCAGTAAGCTTTCTGTAAGTATGCTCAAATCCAGCTTCTTTTCCACCTAACTGTACATTCCCCTATTGCTTCGGTCTTTCCTTATGAGATGAGGGCTTTCACGCTAGTAGAGCTCTGGCTTTGATCCAGAGTACACATGGCAAAGAGAGCAGAGTGGGTAAATGGAAGATTCTTAGGAATCTTGGTAACTGGAGAAGGGCTATGGCAAACCCAGGAACTTTTGAGGGGTTCTTACTGCCTTTACCAAGCTGAGGGAAGCAATATAGCTGAGATGTTAAAGGAATGACACCTATTCATATGGTGCCCCAACATTTCGTATAATTCCTAGGAACTCTCAAGGTCCTTCGATTGATCGTTTTTAGAAGTTGCACCTAAAACTACCCGTTTCGCTGCACACTCATTGACAGCTAACAAAATGGCTGGCTCAATATTAGACCCAATTTAAATTACACAACTTTCAAATTAAAATGGTATTGGCTTGGCTCAGTGTACTACCCCCATTAACATTACCTTTCCCAAATAAACAGAGAAAAACTTCTCATGACCAAGGGTAGAATAATTAGACAGGAAGCACAAAATTAATCCGTGGGAGTGGCTTGGCATGCAGCAAAACCTAACAAGGTGCACACGCTGATCCCCCATAAAGTATAAAAGTTGAAACATACTATCAAATGCTTTATTTTCTAAATATTCCACAGCAGCTTAAGGTTTTCTTCCAAAGGCAATACTTGCCCTTTTCAAATTGTCACATGTGACTTTTCTTCACTAAACAGAAAACATGGTGCTTTTCCTCTCCATTACAGGATTACAACAGAATGAGAATTGTGAGGACCAAAGGTACCACCACACCTGAGCGTGAGTACAGCAAATACGACGAGACTGGTGAAGTCAGCCCCTGAGGGAATCGAAGCTGCCAAGTCACAGGCTCGGAGGACACCCAAGAATAACTTCAGGAAGAACTTTCCCAACCACCACCCACTCCTCCGCCCGTTGTTCCTGTCCCACACCTTGTAGGGAAATGGGAATAAGCAGGGGAGGGTATCCATGCCCGTTCCCTTCCGGAAGCAACAGACTGGACACGGGTCGGTTTGATCACCTCACATCACGCTCATTTATAACAAGCTTTGAGTGTAACGTGTAAGGTCAGAGTTGTTCAGGCTTCAGTATTAAAAGGACATGTCCTTGCCAGTTTAATAACTCGGAATTCTAGAACACCAATGGTCCCTTCACCTGCTGAGGGATTTCCTTCCTGAGTACATCCTACTTCCCACAAACTTATTTTATTCTTTATTTGTATCCTGCCCTTTCCTCAAAATTTTTGCTCCTCACCTTTTATTGGGTTTGTGCTTCTCAGTATTCCTGACCAAAGCAACTAAAGCTAAAAAGAAATGAGACCTCAAATCATTTACCCAAGCTAGGGGATTAAGGTAGTAAAAGAAAAAAAAGTGAGGTCACTTGTGTGCTTAGGAACACTAAAGTAGAGCTTGTCACATCAAAACACAAAGTTTCCAAAACAGTACATTTTATTTGACATTAGACAACATATCCCCCGATCTGTCTCAGTTGTGACATGTAGATGGATGGCTTTCGATTGCTTTTCATGGTCACTCATGCTAGCAAAACTGTTCAAGCTTCCTAACACTCAAGGCTCAGAGATTCTGCATCTCACGTCAGTTCACAAGTCAGAGTGTCTTCCGTTTCCTGGAGCATTTTTGCATGCATTCCCTTTGAGGCACAGAAGGGTAGAGATGAAGCCATTTCCTAGGAAAACCAGTTTGTTCACAACTTTCTTTATGCCACAACAATAGGAAAACCAGTTTGTTCACAACTTTCTTTATGCCACAACAATCGGATGATGGTGGTGTGTGGTCTTATTCTTGTTTTATCTGTAGTGGTAGGGTGCCAGAAACTGCGAAAGGAAGGCTATCAGTTACTTTCTCCTTTCTCCTAATACACCCACCACCCTCAAATCTTCTTCAAATTGATTAATAAGTCCCATCATTATCTAACCCAAGGCTTAGCTGATAACCATTCAGCCAAAAGTTGTTTCTCAAGAACTTAGAGAAATGAGTGGTGACAAAGAATTTTATCCTCATCTCAACAATGGCATTATTGGAATTGCACTGAAGTAACAAAAGCAATTCCCGTTAGACCTGGAGGTAGTCATGGTCTTAAGACCAATCCAGACAAAGGCAGGCGGTCCTCAGAAAGAGCTTTGACCTATTCTTTCACTCTTCCTCCTAGCCCACCCTCTGTGAGTGATTTCAAAATAGAAAAGGTCAAAGCCCAGAGGGCCTCGATTTAGAGATTTTGGGTTGTTTTTCGAGTTTTTGCCAATTACTTCCAATTTTTATGATTCTTACAATTTCAGTATGGTAAAAATTAAGCTATTTCCGTCGACTGACATTATTCTGTTACACCAAGTTCTTTCTTGAGCAGGTTTTGATGCCGAGATTTCTGAAGTGTAAGTTGAAAAGTTGTTGCAAAAGAGAAATCAGGTCTCCGTCTCCAATCTTGCTATGTACTATCTGGGGATTGTTCTTCAGAGGCCTATATAGTGGGTAATTGAAAGAATGTAAAAGGTAAAGAATAGAAAAAAGAACTGGTAAATGCGTTTCAAAACCAACTGTGGCTTAGGTATGAGTGGTTCCCCAAGGCTGGTGCCACGGAGACCGGGGTTTGGGAATTAGCCATTTGCCATCCCTCCTCCTGCCCAGCAAGTGGTCACAGCTATTTCTCATCAGGGATGGTTCCTGAAACCTAAGGAGTAAGCTCAGTGGAAAACCCTGCTGATCGTGGTGGCCAGACTGGTAGAAGAAATATGGAGTAGGAATTAAATTGTACAATGTTGTTCGGCGTCTAAGCCCCTCATCAGAAATTCTAACAACCCAAAAGGAAGTTTTAAAATGTCTGTGGGAAAGCATTCATTTGCTCAAGTCTCTGGTGCCAACTGAGAACCTAGCAAAGGGCCTTATACACAATAGGCCTACTTGTAGAATGAATGAATAAATGAAAAGGTTTCATTCCATTTCTTGTTTTTCAATTGCATCTCCAAGACAAAGTGCCTTTTGTACCAGACCTGTTTCATTTAGCATCACCTTTTCCAATGTTTGTATGAATGAATAAATAAAAGTTTCTCTCACTCCCACTCTGTGAAACATGCCAAAGAGAAGTTGATCTGTTTAATCATTACTTACTTCTCAGTGTCTTAATATCACAGCTGCTCAATGAAAGTTCTTCAACGAATGAAAGAACTGCAGTCATAAATTTGTTACTGTTTCTACCATAAGCTAGTAAGATTTAAGTGCATCTTGGTCTAGGTCTTTTGAATCCGCTCACTCTCCTCAGACACTACTTTATTCAGAGTGAATCCATTTTTACAAAATATGGAATGACAAAGAATCTTTTATTGCTCAAGTGACTTCCTGACTTTAAGCCAGGCCAACGAGCAAATACTTTTAAAACCAGTTGTTTCACCTTCTCATCTTAAACCATTTTACAACAAAAGCAGAATCTTAAATTAATGAATTAAAGGCAAAACCCTGAACCCTTTATCATTCTGGCTTCAAATTAGGTCAATGAGCAAGTGACTTTGGGACTGTATAGAACTAGGGGAAAATGTCTTCATTTTGTATCAAAAGAACCATGCCTTTTGCCCTAGTTTTTAACTCTCCAAGGCAAGTCAATGGGTTTTCTGGACCAGACCTACTCAACTAATTCATCTAGCATAGTGCCTTCCAGAAAACAGGTACTCAAATATTTACTCAAAACTCAAAGGTGTTTTCAGATCTTCGGCTATGATCTGCGATGTAAAGCCATTTAGAGTAGTCCCATTTCACGTCTGTAATGCTCAGGACCTAGAATGATCTATTTCACATAAAATATGCTCTGTTTATCAAATGAACTGAAAAGGAAACCCGAGCCATTTATTTTTGTTCCTTAAATGTCTCTAAGCCAGGCCAAGGTAGATGTGATCACCTCCATCTTCGGTATTCAGCATTAAAAAAACGGATGGAGAATCGGAACACCTTGCTTTCAAAAAAAATTTATATTTTCCCCATGTTTTCATCATTAAATAACTGTAAAGTAAAATCTGAATCTCACACTTACTACCTCATTTCCTCCAGTGGGCATCCTATGAGGATATAATCCTTTTTGTATCGTAGGGCATATGCAGTTCTGAGCCTCATGGAAAGTGATCAGTAATCATTCATTCAGGCAAAGTGAATTCCTTTTATCTGTATAGAACAGTAGGCATGGTAAATGTACACACAGGCCTCTGCTGCAGGTTCGGCAAGAATTATGAAACTCTGCATCTCTGGGGGATGAGAGTAAATCATTGATGTTCAACCAGCAGGTATTGCTTATATATGTATGGCAGTTTAAGACTTGTAAGTTTTTACACATTCTGTGCTGCTGCCCCGGACACAGTACAAGCTGGTTTATCTTCACATCTCAATGCCTAGCGAAAAGACTGGTACATAATAGGCAATTATTATCCAGTCTCGCATTCATCATGTACTTAATCTTTTACAGATTATATTCAGTGTTCAATAGTGAACAATCCATCCCCAAGTTTTTTCCAACTTTGGTTCATAGTCAGAACTGTGTTACAAGGCTGTAAGCCTAGTACTTGGCACCAAATGAGGAAATCAACAGCTCTAGTTCTATGGTGCTTTATTGCCTTATTCTCAGCTGTAGGCACAATGAAATGATAAGTGCACAGATCTCCTTGTGCCATAACCAGGAGTTCACATGGTAGGCAACTGATGATCATTCCTTTCAATAGTTTAACAAGTATTTAAACTCTCAATTTGTATAACTATTCACACTGCCTTCCTCATAACAATAGTGGCACATAAAAGGCAATTAGTATTCATTCATTCATTCATTCATTAAATGTAGTCCATTAGCATTTATTCAGTGCTTTAGTTTACAAAGCACTTGAAAATGCACTTCCTAGCTGACATTTTCAATTGTAAATTGAGAATACTTTCTTTTTGCCTTGTCATCGGGAGTGCCTAGCATGTTATCTGGCACATTGTAAGTCATCACAATAACTTACGTATATTGCAGAGTTTAAAAGCAGTTTCCATGTTTTCTTTTCTGCTACCTGGAATACTTTAGTTTTACTCAGAGTCACCATCGCAACAGAAAACGATGGCTACAAATATATGAATATGTTATCAACTTAATTCCTAATATCTGCATGGTATTACATACTTTTGACAAAGCACTATATTCATGTTTCTTTTAATCTCTATATCCAGTGCTTAGACAGTAGACTGTATCTACTGTGTAATCAATATCTGTTCATCAACTCTGAAAGTTGGAAGTCTAAGCAGTTTCATAGTTTACAAAGGGACAGGCGAAGCACACAAGGAAATTAATATTATTCAGCCCAGTCCCTAGCATTTACATCAGGGGTATCTATGGCCCACAGACCAAATTCACTTGGTTCACAAGCTAAGAATAGTTCTTCCTTTTTAAAGGGTTGTTAAAAAAAATGCAACAAAGACCACATGGCTTGTAAGGCCGAAGATATTTACTATCTGACCCTTTAGAGAGGGGGGTGTGATGACCCCATTTCCATAATACTTCACAACTGATCGTGCACTTTCAAATAACAGCAGTGCGTGGCTGCCACGACACTATTAATGAGAACACCTTGCTTTCATATATACTGTCAACCATTTGAATTATCTTTCCTCATGGTAAGAGGGAAGAAATCAAGGCCTGAACCTGATAAATACTCCCCAAGTTCTCTAAACTTTAAGCCAAGGGAAGTTTGGTGCCGTCTACCAAATTCTGAGGCCACTACTGTGAGCAGGGGGTTCAGGCTCCCTCCTTGGACCTCACTGTCCCAGGACCACTCATCCTTTTTTGTTGCCATCACTAGGAACCCCAAGCCCCAGGAATCCTGCTCACCAAAGCTCAAAGAAGTAAGGTGTTGCTGGCTGGTGCTTCTCAGCAGCCTGGCGCGTGTGTGTATTTCTTGTCTCATTTCTTCCCATCGGCCTGGACAGCCTGGCACTTATTTCCCTTTCTCATCAGCCTAGAGCTTCTGAGGAAAAGGGGGGACTGAAATATAACATCACCTATATGTCTCTCTCAAATGGAGTAGAGGTGAAGAGAAATGGAAGTTTTTTTTAAAAAAAAACACCAAAAATGTCTCAAAACTGTGATAAAAACTGGCTTAGACTGGCTCAGGCATACTATTGCTGATTTAAAGATATGTCTCTCTACATCACAAAAGATATCTCAAAATAAGTGCGCTTAAATGGAGACAGGAGAGCTGGAAAGGGGAGAATGGAAAATGTCCAAGAGAAGGGAGGACGAAAAGAGCTGAGTGTAGGGTTCTTGTCTTGGTCTTAGAGCGTCTATCCTTCTGGATTCCAAGTCAGAGGACTGCAGCTGCCCACCCAGTCTCTCTTGGGCCTTCAAGTCCACATAGAGAGGTTTGACTCCTGGGTCTTTATTTGTGTCTGAGGCCTCCCGTCCTTGGGTCTTTTTATGTCAGCTCTCAGGCCTTCTATGAGTCCCATGAAGACCCGTCCTGGGTTTTCAGCCTTCTGTCCAACTCAGTCAAGTGTTTTGTCCGACAAAGGCCACCCTGTATACGTTGTGGCCCTTGGGGCTTCCAGCGGTCTCAGGTGTTTTCAGTTTGAGTCCTCAGGTTTCAAGTCTCTAAGCATCTGTCTTCTTGGGCCTTGCATCCACTATGGGCATCATCGCACAGGACAGCCTGACAGAGGAACCGCTCTGCAACGCTTATTTTGATAGCTGACACTGCACCTATTAGAAAGGGCTTAAGAGCCCACAAACACAACAAATATGCAAGCATGAGCAAACACATGCACAAAAAATATGCAAGGAGAGAAGACTACAGGACATCAAGGAGGGGAAGACACAGACTCATGAAGAGGCCAAAAGACCCAAAAGTCAGCAGAAGGGAAAAAGCAGAGAAGAAACAAGAGAAAAGAGAGAAGACTGACAAAATGGAAGAAACAAAGAACAAAGAGACATGGAGGCACCCAGAGCAGGGAAAAGAGAGAAAATGGCCCAAGAGAGGCAGAAAGGACATGTGGAAAGGGAAAGCCAAGATGGAGTAGAAACAGCAGGATCAGAAAAAGGTAAAATGTCAAACAAACAAGGGGAGAGAGTCACAAACAATCAGTTCACAGAGAGAACAAAAGAGAGGTGGGCAGGATAAGAAATGAGCACAGAGCAGGCAGCTGGGACGCAGACACACACAGGGAGAGAAGACCACTCTCACGAACAAAATAGAAAGTGAGACACAGAGAAGAAACTAGCAAGAGAATCCCAGAAATGGGTAAGACACACTTTAGAGAACAAAGACCAAAGACATTCAAGGAAGAAAAAGACAAGCAAAGAAATGCACACTTTTGAGTGAAAGAGGTAAGCCAAAGCAGACATTCAGAGGAAAAAGGGCACAACTGCACAAGAAACATCACAAGAAGACAAAAGAAAACCAAAAAGGGCATTAGTATCTACAGTAAGCTATTATCAGTACCAATCCTAGGTATATTACTACCAATACTAATTATAATCACCACCACCACCAACACAGACACTCTTCTTACAGACGTTTACCTTCGGAATTTTACATAGAACCAAAACATGCCAACTCTGTCTGCCACGAGTTGGCAGTGGTGGCCACTCATAGTGTGTCACACAAACTTCTTTCCCCAACTCTTTAGAAAAGAGACTTGATCCTCACACCCTTCACAATCGAATACTGGCTTTCCTTTAGCACTAAATCTTAACTTCAGACAGATGCTCTCACAAGAGCAGATAAGAAAGGGCCACCCTCCTTTCCGCAAAAAGCATACTTTTTTTGTTTTAGGTTTTTATTCGTTCAGGCTTCTCAGAGTGGCAAAGAATCTATGCAGTGAAGATAAACAACAGATGAGGTGCGACTAAATGCCCTGTGACATAACTGGAAGACAGAGTCATATCTTTGCGTGGCTTCAGTGAACCCAGATTGGTAATGCACGCAGACCTTGTTTTATTGCACTTCATTTTATTGCACTTTACAGATGCTGCGCTTTTTATAAATTGAAGGCAAGACCCTCCACCAGCAACAATATTACGACTTGCTTTATTGCTGTGGTCTGGAACCCAACCTGCAATATCTCTGAGGTCTGCCTGTACAGGTTACTGGTCATTCTCCCATGTCACATTCAGGCCCCCTCCACGTTAGATAACCATACCCCAACCCACAAAACCTCCAACAAATGGCCCTTAGCTCTAAAGCGATCCACCAACTACTCACTTCATCCTGCTCGTCTAAAACGCGTGTCAGGCATGTCAATCTTTGGTGCGATCAGATTTCTTGCTCCTTGCACTGCTTTTGAGGAAGGTGATTCTGGTAGATAGAAAGGGAAGAATCAGGTGCTACAAAAAAATAAAAGAGAGAGAAGGGAAAACTATATAAAAGCCATAAAGAAGTATTAAGTGAGTACTGCACTAGACTTATGGGAGATTCAAATTAGTGACTTATAGAAACTGTCTATAGAGCTTAGACATGTATAAAGTTGTAGCTTCTAGGTCCTTAGAGATAAAACTAATACAACTTTTGCATTCAAAAGACCAGGAAATTGTGGCATGAATAGGAAAAAATGTCTTGCCCAATGTTATTTAGTGAGCCACTGGAAACACCACCATTCTCATAGCCTTATTTCTGTAGTTGAACTCTCATCTGTACACTCAGGACTTACTACACTGAATGGCTACCTTCATGGCCCAACCTGCAGCCCCTATTCTGCCTCTCTCATCACTGACCTAGAGGATCAAAATTAGAGACAGTAGCTTTATGACACATTAGGGACAGCTTACCCACCTCTGACGTTGTCTTGAGACTTGACCTTCCTGTCGGGGCCCAGGAAAGAATCTTGGTTGAGCCTCCTGGCCTAGGGTTGTTGCCCAGTGGTGGTGAGCCTTTCCCCTGGAGGATCCTTATGCCCCATCTCCACCTAAGGACCGTCAAAGGGAATGGGTCACTACCACCGTAAAGCAACAAGCCTGTTCTTCTCAGGAAGACCTGGAGAAGAGAGAAAAGAAAAACGATTACTGAAATGCAGTGTATAGCAAAAGACTTCCAATGAGCAACTGTTGGGAGCCATGCAGGTTGGCTTAGCTGAAGCATAACTTGTTTTGCTTCTTGTTTTGCTCCTTTCTGCACCTGGAGGGTGCGTACTTAACCTTGAGGTATGTGGTGAGAATGGCCAGTTCCTTGGAAGAAATAATAAGATAGAGGGCTATCTGGGTTTAGGGAAAGTGTCCTAGGAAACTGACTCCCTAAGGTCCCTCTGACCTTGAAGTTTCTAGTAGATAGATAATGATGTACTTTTGAATGAGGTAATGCATATTTGTCCCTTCTGCTTTGCATGTATCCTGAATGTATATAATGATGCTGGGAAATAAACTCAGGGCTGGCTGCTAAGAATGCTTCCAGTCCTCCCGGACCCTCTTTGTTTCTTTGTCTCTTTATTTCCTTAAACCTCGCCCCCCACTTCAGGTACTGTTCTCTGGAATGCCGAGGTAGGACCCCGGCAAGCAACTAGTGGTTAAATTAAACTATATCTACCCTCTTCTTCAGATGGATTGAGGGGTGGAGATTGAGAGCTGTGGCGAGCGCTATATTCTAGAAACATGCAAACTCTTCTCCTCATTCCAGTTCCGTTCCTTGAACTTCCTCTCATCTCCAAAAGCAATTTAGAGCTGAAGAATTAGCAAAATTCCCATACTGTGCTTTATTGCCCAGTCTCCACTGATGAGCAGTCCTCCATGCTGTGGCCTATTAATGTCCTGTGTTCTCGTCATAAAGTACAGGGTGGGTCAAGAAATTGAGGCGTAGACAATAATAGAAGGAACAGCCAAAGCTTTCTCAACCAAGACAGCTATGAAGCCACTTGGAAAAGCCCCTATATGGTCTGGCCAGGGAGTTCTGGAAGAATGCATCTTTGCATTGCCTCGGGCTTCTTTTAAGGACTGAGCAATCTACGCCAATCAAAGTGCATCTCTCTCGCCTAGCTTTGTAACATTCTCCTTTTAATCTGTATGGTAAGTAGTGAGCAGTGCCAAGGTAAAGAGAATTATTTTCCAGTCAGTCCACATGGTACAGCTTATGTAAATGGGACACTTCCAGAGTCCCAGGATATTCAGAGAAATCAAAAATGGTTACAGCGATATAAAACCCCAGTTACTATGACAGCTTAGCAAATCTATGCAAAAAGAAAAACAAGGTGCAGAAGGCTAGGGACCCCGTAAATAGCTTAGAGACCCTTGGGTCTCTGTTATTCTACCTGTTAGCAATTTCATGGCTTTTCAAATTAACCCTCAACTTCTTAAAATAAGGGAATGGCAGTGACATGGAATTTTCAAGGCCTACTAATTGGAAGGCACAGGTTCGTTTTCTCTCCTAAGTAGCTATGAGACGTGGAAGGAACTAATTTTGTTTTGCATCTCTCCTTCATTTATGGAAAGGGAATCAAGTATGCTTGCCCTTAGAGGCCTCACTGGAGCCTAGCTCTGAGGGATACATTAAATAATAGGCCAAACTCACTTTGGAAAGTTAAAATGTGCGTATCTGCAAAAAACCCAACAAACAGTAGGAATTGATAAAAACTGGCTGTCCTGTTTTAAAAAGGAGAGCTGCAGGGAGTCGAAGCCCTTAAAGCCAAAGACAGAAATCCCCCACCAATGAGCTCCCCGAGCTACCTTTTGGTCCAGGTGGCCTGTAAGCCACCTTCTCAGAGTGCTTGGAGCTTATCCAGATTCTCAAAAGGAAAGATCCATTGAATGTGGAGCTTCTTAGAGCTGCTTACAGCCCAGTCCTCAGGTGGTCCATGCTCAGAATGTCCTTGTGAAGAAGACAGGGCTCATTAGGACAGGACACCAAAATTCTTGGGAAAGCCTCAACAACAACAACACAAGGAAGTATTAACCTGAAACATTAGAAATAGGTGTGTCCTGTCTCTCCTCTCTAGCCTGTATGGTCTCCCTAAGATCTTGTAATGAATGGCAAGCATTGGCAGTATCACCAAAGGTTAGGCAAGTGTGAAAAAGAACGAAATGAAAATATGGGTCAAGCCAACACTCGCCTTAAGGGCTGACTACATTTGTAGCCTAAAGGTCATGCTGTTGCTGAAAAATACTTCAAGATGCAAGGTAGCAGGGCAATTACTACTGGCCAGAGGTTCAATGGCCTCCTTGACAGTTTTTAATAATTGGTGAGCTGCCTTTACTATAGGATAGGGGCTTACTGAAATGAGGCAGGTCTAAGCCAGGTTTGCAATCTTGAAAGCACTTTGCATGGTGTGGAAAGAACCACGTATGGCTTCCTGATTCCTGAGCAGGAGTTCCCATATTATTTATAAGACCCATATGTCAACATCAAACAAATTCTAACAGTAGTATGTGAAAGATCATTCACTCAGGTCTATTCTCTAGATAAAATATTCAGTAAAGCAAAAATGGTATTCTATGACGTTTTCAGTATGAGCAGAACAGGCTTCAGAAATCTGTTGGCAGCATTCTTCCCCATCCTTACTTAACCTAAGGTTAGATATTTCTTCCCCAAACATAGGCTTCCAGTTAAACCTGGATTCAAGCTCAAATTCATTTAAACACTGCCTGGTTAGGGTACCTAAAAGGAAACAACTATTCCAGTCTCCCCAGATCTTCTGAGCTACTCTGAACCACATTTACTGAGTATGGCCACGTTAGCATCAAAGCCCCCTAGTTTTCTTTGTTATCATAGTGATGACATATAGAAAGAGCAGTCCCTTTCCTTTAAAGGGAATCCAAGGCCAGAGAAAATGGTTACGTTTTGGTACTAGTACAGAGCCACACATTTCATTGGGATTCAATATTCATTGACAAGAATTTTTAGACTCTTGATCCATCATCTCATAACCCAACAAAATGTCAAGGTATTTTAGATATAAAGACCAAGTGGCATAGCCATCCAGCTGGTTGAAATACTCCAACACTAGCCAAATCAGAGTCACCACAGCTAGATAGGATATTAATGATCATGTAACCCAACATTTTCATTCTCTAGATAAAAAAGCTGGGAGGCCAGTAGATGAGACTCCCCTCTGTTTTTTGCAACTTTAAGTTCAGAAAAATAGTTTTTATGCTAAAGGGAATGAATAAAATAGGACTAAGATCTTTTTGCTTAGATCTGTAATACAATTACATCTGTAGCACAAATCTATAAAGCACAGGAAGTGTGCAGGATAGTAGTGAAAAAATGGCTGTTAAAATGTATTTGCAGCGTGGCGTGTCTCTACTGTCACAAGCTGTGTTAATGTACTTAATCAAATGGCTATTCACAAGGTGCTGCAACATCTTGTTATTATAGCACATAGCAGTGGTATTTGTCTTTTATTTGGCACAAAACAAATTTATATCTTGTTTTCCTCTGTTCTTTTCTTTAAGCTACAGGCAACAAAACTAGTACCATTTGCCACCAATCTGGCAATGCAATCCTCCATTATGAGGCTTGCTGATTCAGAAGACTATCTTTATGGAGAAATATGGTAAAAAGTTTGTAGAGCACTCCTATAGCCCTGAGCATCCTTGCCCAGACCCCAGAGTTAAAAGACCTTTGAAATAAGAGAAAACCTGGATTTAAGTATCACTGCACAACCTACTAAGGTTTGGGGGAACAATTAGTTCAGGTCAGAGATCAGTTCCCTTCTCTTTAAGCAGGTAAAAATTTTCCCAGGACAGTTTCACAGATAACAATATTTTAGCAGCCACTACAGATCAACTTTTAATTCTTTACTTCAAGTCACAAACTCCTAACCAGATGTATATTTGATAACCAGGGCCCAGATACCCTGAAAAGAGATTATGATGTTTCATCATGGCAACCCTGGGTCTTATGATCTTCTATGATTTAGGGAGGTGGTGAGAGAAATGTGCAGATAAATTACAGCAAGATAGATGGAAAAGCTAAAGGGGGATATGGGAAAAGATGCACAAAACCGGGGTCAGGACACTTCCTCCGATCCTGTATATATATATATTACGGTTCTAGAAGGAGGAAGATCACAAAGAAATCACAATGACCATTTAGAGGAATGCCAAAAAAATTTCAAGTGCTTTCTTTTTTGACCCTTTGAAAATTTCCCAAATGAGGTATTCAATTCAAGTCACTCAAGTTGAGATGTATGAGACTGGACCCAAGGTTAGAGCCAGGACCAAAGGCTAAGAGTTCTGATTCCCAGATCTCAACTTTTTCATTCCTTTGCCGGCATCTCACTCCTTCGGCCCCCAACCCCATGAAAAAGAATAGCGACTCAGTCCATGTAAGAGAACACATGCTTCATTAAAATGCATTTGCAAGAAGTGAGGAATACTGTAGTGCCAGCAAGCCCTGAGCCTCGGCGCTATTTACTCCAGTGCCTGGCCCAATAGCTATTTGTTAAGTTAACCCATTTCCAGGGCAACCCTTTTCAGCCTGCTGAGATTCGATTTTGAGCAATGAATTGATTCACCTTTGGATGCGAAGTGCAGGCTTCAATCCATCTAACACTGTTCCGTCCTTCCTGTGTAGGGGTACAGAGCTGGCTCAGAATCCATCCCTTTAAAACAAATGCCAACAGTTACAGTTGTTGTGTTAATATGGAATGATAATTGGTTTAGTAATTCACAAGCACAGACCAGTGTTTCTCAAATTGGGGTGATAAGAACCCTGGAGGTTTGTGGATATGTTCTCATGAAGCCCCAAGTCCGACATAAATTATATAAAACATTATAATGTTTGACAAAGATATGTTGAAATTGAGAAACATGTTTACATGTTAAAAACTCGAAAGTCAGTGTTCCTCAAAACACATGTTTTTTAGCATCTCAAAGAATTTTATTCCTGTAAAAGGTGTTTCATCCTGACAAGTTACTTGAGGTTGAAAAACAATGGCATACATAGACCATGTTTCCAAGAAGGCTCAGGACCATTTGTATATTACCCCCAGTCAGTCAGACAAATGATGTCTCCAGGCATTGGCAAGGGGGGGACTAGGAAATATGGCCATAAATTAAAATGGAGAGCAAGAGAAGGCCAGCTCATTACTATGGTTCTTTTTGCTCCTGCTAGGATACACAGATGTACACAAAAAATGTTTCAAATTTTGTTAATATTTTTCAGCTGGACCTTTCTGAGATTAGGCACGGTCATGGTTTTCTTGTAAAACTTATACTTCTCCATTGCCCTCTTGCTAAACACATTCCACAAATATCTCAAACTAAAAAGGCATCAACGCTACTCTCATCTGCTCTTGGGCAGAGACCAAATAAAAAGGTACAAAGAGCCAACGCATCAGACTTATATCCCCAAGCCCTGAACCTTGAAAAACTCAAGCTTATAATGGGATTTAACAATCACCAATTTGCCATGGGAATACAGCCAAACACAATGGCTAGCTAGGTCCTGTCTTTTTAATTGATTTCCATACCTCCAAAAGAAGTAAAAACCAAATGACATTAAAAATCAACCAACTGGACTACCCAGATGGCTGCAATAGTCATCATTGTACCAAAGAGAAAAAGTATATCCACCTCTTTCCTTAAGTTAATCCTGTGAACTGCAAACCCTGGTGGCTCACTTTTAAAAAGTCTGTAACTTATAATTTATACAAGACAGTACTTGATTATCATTTCCTAAAGAACCGAGTTGTCAGAAAAGTCATGACGCATTTTTGCAACAAAAAACATAGAAAAAATATGTCATGACTTTTCCGAGAACCCAATAATTTTAAGTGTGCTTGTATTAGCTCATCGATACAACCGTCTAGAGGATGAGATTATACACAGGACTCTCTCATTTCTACTGCACGCTTAAGTATGAACTAGCATAGGGCCAGGTACACAATATTAATTCTATAATTCTGTTGGTTAACTCATATCGTGATCATATATATACATATATTATATATAAATCGCAGATAAGGTGGGAACAGGCAAGGAGACTTTCAGGACCTCTGACTTTTCTATGGGTAGCATCAAGAGAAAGAAAATTGAACAGGGGGGAAGATGACTTAGTAACTACAAAGTGGTACTTACAGTGTTCTAAAGAGCCAGAGACTCTTCTTACAGCTGTCCAAGGAGCTAGCAGTGCAAACTGCGCCCTGAGCTGGGCCGACCTTTTGGCATCCTTCTACCCGGAATAGTATCCTTTCTCAGTCATTACAAAGAACTGCTGTTGTCATGACTAGTAATTTCCTCACGAAATACTTCTCTGCCACCAAACACCATGCACACTAGAGGCTAGGCTATTATTCATTTTCACCACGCAGGTAGCTCACTATTGCAATTCACATCCAGAACAATTAGACCTTGGCTTATTTTTTTGACATAAAACAGGGAAACATCATCTCTAAGTCCTTACTTCAGGGTGGTCCTTGAGGCTACTTTAAATGAGCACGACTAAACAGGGTGTGCTTTATGTAATAATCAAATAAGGTGATCTACGCTATATGTTCTCTCATTTCATCCTTTTACAGCAATCTTGAGATAAATAGGGGCTCAGTTAGTGCTCCAGATGAAGAAATGTAAGGATCACAAAGGTTAGGTAGTTTTCCTAAAAGTGAATGGTGGTAAAGCCCAAAATGACTGGTCTTATGAGTTCCAGTCTAGAACTCCTTTGGGATAGTCGTCACAGTGGTCTATCCACAGACCCACCACCCTTAGTAAAATGAGACACTGCTCATCAGGTACACGGCGTAAATGGGTTTTTCAACTTGAAAAATTCAATGACCAGGTTATCAATTCCACCTTGCAATTCACATGTCTTTCTCAAAAGATAGCTCCCTGGGCCTGACTTGCCTTAAGCTTTTTGCCCAGTAAAGCAGTAGCAGAGGTGGCCAGGGATGGTTCCTGTCCCCACACTGGGACAATAATTGAAATTGGGATCCTTAAAAGATGCGGAAAAGGAGTGAAGGCCCATCCACCTAGTTCAGGCCTGCTTTGGTAGTCAACACTGCACAATCACAACATTGAGGGGGCAGGGAGATCTCGGGCTGATGGGTTGAAAAGTGGGACAATCAGTACTGTGTTAATTAATAACACAGAAGGGGCTTCGGGTAGTCAGCATTACTCAGAAGCAATGCAAATTAAGTGGAGGAGTCCGTGTCGGATGGGCGGGACCAAGGGAAGTGCAACTGAGGCACTACAGCAATCCAAATACACTGGGTGAACCAATGACATCTGGGCAGGGGTGGGAAGGCGGAGGAAGCACAATGTTATCCAATGGCTGGATACATGGACACCTGAAATGTGATTAATAGTCCATCAGAAGGGTCCAAGGGCAGGCAGGGGCTGGGGAGAGGGAACATAAGAGTAAGACCGTGACTACTTGGAATTTTATATCCTGGAGCAATGCAAAGGGAGTGGGATGACGGGTTTGTTTGGGGCTGGGAAAAACCCATTGCTAATTGCCATTGTGCGCATTACCATTGCCAGGAGAGGTTTTGTGTGCTCAGCTGCCCCTGCAGTAATGCAAAGGGGGTGTAAGGGAATGGCACCCTACTCTAACAGAAGGGGGCATACATAGGTAATTGCAAATAGTCACATGAAAGGTTCCCAAAAGGGGCCTGAGTCATTAACCCTGACACATACAAAGAGGGTTCAGGCGCCCTGCCCAATAATCAGTACTTTGGATAGTTGTTATTGGTGCCAATAATTGTTCAGGACCTGAGGTCATAATGGTCAGCAGTAATTCAGTGGCAGTGGCAGGGACATAAAGCATCCTTTTCTACTGCACAGGTCAACATACACATACAACTATGCACATTACTAATTTAAGGGAAAAGCTCATTCATGGCTAACATGCCCCAAATGCAAAGGGGGCATATGAGGGGATGCAATCCTACTCCAACAGAAGAGATGGACAATTGCAATCATGCACATTACAGTCCCAAAGAAAGGGCATTAGTTGAATAGCACCTCCTTGCTATAAAGCAAAGAGGGTACAGTGCTTCTGGTATAGGACGTGCATAGAAAATTGCATCTGTACACATGAACTTTCCAAGTGACAGGGTCTTCAGTACTGGGCACTGCTAAGGAAGTAGGTGGGGTGTTTATTGCATAGAACAGGGCAGTGTGCTTGTCTGGTGCACCAAAACCCAGACAAATGCAATTATGCACATTCACAGGCCAAGAAAGGCCATTTAGAGGTTGGCAACTGTGGTATACTGCAAACTGGAGGCCAACGGGGTAGGACAAACTAAGTTGAGATTATATACATGAATATCCAAGGGACGTGGTGTGGTGAATTAAAATCGTGTACCTTGTACAAATACCAGGCTCTTAGAGTAGCAGGCACTCGTTGCTAAAAGGCTCTGGGATTGAGGACAGGTGTGTTTACCTACTATAAAGGAACATGGACAAATGCATTTATGCAGAACAGCAAGCCATGAAACAAGGCCTCAGTAACTTAAGGGTCTAAGGGGGTAGCAGCTTATTCTAATGGAATGAACCATGTGCAGCTATGCATATTCATACCCCGCATGCATGGTCCTCATCAGTTACAGCTGTGTACCATGCCTGTCCCAGTAGAACGGTCTTCTGGAGGGGACACTCCCTGCTGGAACAAATGGGAGTAAGCACAGGTGTCCTTGGCAAGTGCACAGGAGCCCAGACAGATACAGTCATATGTATTAACAGGCCAAGAAATGGGACCTTACGGGTCACAATTCCTGTGCACTTTAAGAGGGAGCGAGGTGTGGCGGGATGCTACTGTAATGATTGTGTGCACTAACACTGAGAAAGGGCCCTTAGGTGGAGAGTAAAACAAAGAGGCTGGGAAGAGTCAGGAACCCAAATTCACTCACAAGACCATGGACAATTAACGAAAAGTATCCACAGTCCCAAGATGGGGTCCCAGTTACATGAGGACCAGAGGCCACTGAAGCATATTCAGTCCCAGGTATTCACTGTGGTGATGAAAATTTTTAGGGATGGGATCCTAGTTACATAAGGACCAGAGTGGCATTTAAACACATTCGCTCACAAGCACTCACTATGGTGATGCAAAGTGTGGAGCTGATGGGGTCTCATTGTTATGGAAAGACCAGAGTTGCATTTAAGCACATTCAGTCCCAAGGACTCACTGTGGAAGTGAAAATTTTTAGGGATGGGATCCTACAGTTCCATAAGGACCATTGAAGCATTGAAGTACATTTGGTCCCAAGCACTCACTGTGGTGATGCAAAGTGTGAAGCTGATGGAGTCTCATTGTTAGGTATGGACCAGAGTGGCATTTAAGCACATTCAGTCCTAAGTACTCACGGTGGAGATGCGAAGTGTGTAGGGAATCGGTCCTACATTTATATAAGGACCATACTGGCATTTAAGTACAATCAGTCTCAAGGACTCACCGTAGTGATTAAAGGTGTGAAGCTAATGGAGTCTCATTGTTATGTAAGGACCAGAGTGCCATTTAAGCATATTCAGTCCCAAGCACTCACTGTGATGATAAAAGTTTTTAGGCATGGGACCTTACAGTTACATAGGGACCATAGCGGCATTCAACACATTCGCTCACAAGAACTCACTATGGTGATACAAAGTGTGCAGCTGATGGGGTCCCACTGTTACCTAAGGACCACAGTGGCATTTAAGCACATCCAGGCCCAAGAACTCACTGTAGTGATTCAAAGTGTAAAGCTAATGGAGTCTCATTGTTACGTAAGGACCATCGTGGCATTTAAGCACATTTGGTCCCAAAGACTCACTGTGGTGATGCGAAGTGTGAAGCTGATGGAGTCTCATTGTTACAGAAGGACCAGAGTGCCATTTGGACATAATTACTCACAAGCATCTATAGTGGTATGAAAAAGTTTTAGGGATGAGATCCTATACTTATATAAGGACCATGTGCATTTAAGCATGTATGGTCCAAGCACTCTGTTATGGTATAAAGTGTGAAGCTGATGGGGTCCCACTCGTACGTAAGGACAAGAGTGCCATTTAAGCACATTCAGTCCAAATACTCACAGTGGTGATACAAAGTCTGAAGCCGATGAGGTCCCATAGTTAGGTAACTACTAGAGTGGCATTTAAGCACATTCAGTCCCATGTACTCACTGTGTGATGCAAATTGTGCAGGGTTTGGGTTCAATTGTTACAGAAGGACTAGAGTGCCATTTGGACATAATTACTCCCAAGCATCTACAGTGGTGTGAAAAAGTTTTAGAGATGAAATCCTATAGTTATATAAGGACCACATGATATTTAAGCACATATGGTCCAAGCACTCACTGTGATGGTACAAAGTGTGACGCTGATGGGGGCCCACTCTTATGTAAGGACCAGAGTGCCATTTAAGCACATTCAGTTTAAAGAACTCAGGTTGCAGATGCAAACGGTGTAGGGAATTAGTCCTAAGTTATATAAGGACCATACTGGCATTTCAGTACATCCAGTGTCAAGGACTCACTGTGGTGATTCAAAGTATGAAGCTAATGGAGTCTCATTGTTAGGTAAGCACCAGAGTGCCTTTTAAGACAATTCAGTTCCAAGTACTCATTGTGGTGATAAAAGACTGAAGCTCATGGTGTTCGACTGTTATATAGGACCGTGCTGGCATTTAAGCACATTCGGTCCCAAGTACTCACTGTGGTGTTGAAAGGTGTTAGGGACCACATCCTAGTTCTGTAAGGCCATAACAGAATTTAAGCACATTCGGTCACAAGCACTCACTATGATGCAAAGTGTGAAGCTCAAGGGATCCCACTGTTAGGTAGGGACCATAGTGGCATTTAAGTACTTAGGTCCCACATACTCACTGTGTGATGCAAAGTGTGCAGGGTTCCGGTCCCATTGTTACAGAAGGACCAGAGTGTCATTTGGGCGGAATTACTCCCAAGCACCTACAGTGGTATGAAAAAGTTTCAGGAATGGGATCCTACAGTTATATAAGGAACATGTGGAATTTAAGGACATCTGGTCCCAAGTACTCACTGTGGTGATGCAAAGTGTGAAGCTGATTGTTCCCATGTTATGTAAGGACCATAGTGGCATTTAGGCACATTCAGTCCCAAGAACTCACTGTAGTGATTCAAAGTGTAAAGCTCACTGTGGTGGTAAAAGTGTGAAGCTGATGGTGTTCAACTGTTATATACGACCGTGCTGGCATTTAAGCACATTCGGTCCCAAGGATTCACTATGTGATGCAAAGTGTGCAGCTGATGGGTCCCACTGTTACGAAAGGACCTTAGTGGCATTTAGACATTCAGTCCCAAGTACTCACTGTGGTGGTAAAAGTGTTCAGCTGATGGGTCCCACTGTTACGTAAGGACCATAGTGGCATTTAGGCACATTCAGTACCAAGTACTCACTGTGGTGGTAAAGTGTGAAGCTGATGCTGTTCGACTGTTATATAGGACCGTGCTGGCATTTAAGCACATTCGGTCCCAAGGACTCACTATGTGATACAAAGTGTGCAGCTGAAGGGTCCCACTGTTACGTAAGGACCTTAGTGGCATTTAGGCACATTCAGTCCCCAAGACTCACTGTGGTGGTAAAGTGTGAAGCTGATGGTGTTCGACTCTTATATAGGACCATGCTGGCATTTAAGCACATTCGGTCTCAAGGATTCACTCTAGTGATTCAAAGCTGAAGCTCATGGAGTCTCATTGTTACATAAGGACCATAGTGCCATTTAAGCACATTAGGTCCCAAGTACTCACTATGGTGGTAAACGTGTGCAGCTGATGGGTCCCATGTTACGTAAGGACCATAGTGGCATTTAGGCACATTCAGTCCCCAGGACTCACTGTGGTGGTAAAAGTGTGAAGCTGATGGTGTTCGAATGTTATATAGGACCGTGCTGGCATTTAAGCATATTTGCTCTCAAGGACTCACTATGTGATACAAAGTATACAGCTGAAGGGTCCCACTGTTACGTAAGGACCTTAGTGGCATTTACGCACATTCAGTCCCAAGTACTCACTGTGGTGGTAAAGTGTGAAGCTGATGCTGTTCGACTGTTACATAGGACCGTGCGGCCATTTAAGCACATTCGGTCCCAAGGACCCACTATGGTGATGCAACATAAGCAGCTGATGGGTCCCACTGTTATGTAAGGAACATAGTTCTATTTAAGCACATTCGGTCCCAAGGACTCACTCTGGAGATGCAAAGTGTGGAGCTGATGGAGTCTCATTGTTACGGAAGGACCAGAGTTGCATTTAAGCACATCCAGTCCCAAGAACTCACTGTGGTGGTAAAGGGTGAAGTTGATGCTGTTCGACTGTTGTATGGGACCGTGCTGGCATTTAAGCACATTCGGTCTCAAGAACTCACTGCGGTGATGCAAAGTGTGCAGCTGATGGGTCCCACTGTTACGTAAGGAACATAGTGGCATTTAGGCACATTCGGGCCCAGGACTCACTGTGGTGGTATAAGTGTGAAGCTCATGGTGTTCGAATGTTATATAGGACCGTGCTGGCATTTAAGCACTGTCGGTCTCAAGAACTCACTGCGGTGATGCCAAGTGTGCAGGTGATGGGGTCCCACTGTTATGTAAGAACCATAGTGCCATTTAAACATATTCAGTCCCAAGGACTCACTGTGCGGTTGCTAAATGTGAAGCTGATGCTGTTCGACTGTTATATAGGACCATGCTGGCATTTAAGCACATTCGGTCCCAAGGACTCACTATGGTGATGCAACGTGAGCACTGATGGGTCCCACTGTTATGTAAGGAACATAGTTCTATTTAAGCATTTTCGGTCCCAAGGGCTCACTGTGGAGATGCAAAGTGTGGAGCTGATGGAGTCTCATTGTTATGGAAGGACCAGAGTTGCATTTAAG